CCGGGGAAACGTATTCATTATGTCCTTGTCTGACGACTGGAAGAGGTGCTTTTGAAAAGCGACGTTTACACTTTTCGTTTCACAGTGCCTATTGTTCAAGATATAAAACCACGAGCCTTTCCGACTTTCAATTTTGTTGGTTTGTTCAGTGCAGTAGTGTAATACATTTTATTGACTTGTTTAAATCTACGTACTTCTTCATCACCAATCTATCATTTTATGTTTTTTTATTTTTCAATTTAAAAAATTAAAGCGAACCCTCGGTTTGCTTGGGGCTTTTTTTTGCCTAATTAGCCTCACGTTTAGTTTTTAATTGTTTTTGTTGTTTTTAAAATCAGAAAAGTACTACATTGTATTATCTTCTATAGCCAAGTTACGGCATCTCGCAACAGTGCCGTTTCGCTAATTTAATTTCTTATTGTAATATTCAAAGAAAAGGTGGTTAAATATATATACATATATTCGCGTTCGTTAAAAGAGAAACTTTAAAGTTGATAAAATTATGTTAAGACACCAGTTCAAATTAAACAAATTTAAGAGTAAACGCCTTCCATCAGATATCGAAAAGAAAAGAAGCTCACGACAGTGTTCTTTAGAACAATGAGGGGACAATCATACACACACAAAAGAAAATAAATTTTAAGAGTAGGTTGCAAAGATAATTGAACAAGGAGGTGAAATTTGATTAATAATAATCACCTGAATGAGACGAAAAAACATTATATTTATAGTAGTGGGTGAGAATATGTAAATTAAAAGAAAACAAGAAGCCATCTTAGGATAATTGTCAACTTAGATATGGGAGTGTTAATATCAACTTACTGATTCCACGAGGTTTGATTATGTCCAGTTGAAATATTGTTTTATAGGAGCTTCTGTATGTTTACTGATGTCAGAGAGAAATGATCTTAAAGTGCTTTAAAGGGTAGTCAATGGTGTTAAAATGTCTTTGAAAGGATTTTGTAGGATTAGACTGGTTGTGTTCCTTACGTTTCCGATCCCTTTCATCCGTTTTACCCATGAACTAATAATCACAGATTAGACAGTAATCTACAGACTTTGAAGTGAAGTCACCTTATATATATGATATGTAGTTCCTTGTTCATGTACTAAGAATGATAGTAAAATTAATTCAAATAAATAAACAGTCAGTGTTAAAAAGAAAATAAGTAATATTGTGTTATTAATTTTTACCATTAAAATCTGATTTGTAAATGACTTAAATAAAAATGATATATATATATATATATATATCACTTAGACCACTACTATGTCTGTCATATCCCACCAGAACTGATGAGTCTTGGTATTGAGCGAAAAGCCTCGTTGGCACTGAATATAGCAGACGTAATGTAATTGACATACCATTTTCCTTTGTTTTCACTCATGGGTTCTTAGAATAACATTCATTTGTAGGGTAGTAGCAGATGAAATAGCATAGTTTGTTAAAGGATTGGTTTTTTAAAGGCGTCTCTTGTTTGGAGTTTGTATATAGGTGAAACAGGTTGCAAGTTATCCGGGAACATGAAACCCACTAACCCTAATAAATCCGTTACAAGAAACTCAAACACCCAGAACTATTCTTTAGAGCACTTCAAGACTCTTGTTCTCAGACCAATAGGAACAGACGGGAACTGCTACAAAAGCAACGTGTTTGTTTGTTTGTAATTAAGCACAATTGGGCTATCTGTGCTCTGCCCACATCCGAAACCCGGATTCTTGTGTTGTATGTCCGCAGACATACCGCTGTGTCACTGGGGGGCGCAACATGTTTCAGCTATACATACCATGAAACCGAAATACATGGGACTTAGCACATAAGTATATCTGTTAATATCCTTGCTTGTTTCACTTATTTATTTAAACCCGCCTTTGAAATGATACTTGTTTTTATTCTAATACACGATAACACTTTCATACTGTAATAATGAAAGATTCACTTATGTTGTATTGTTTACAATGTATGATTAATATATATGTATATACAAGAATACACATATGTGTGTGTGTGTGTTTGTGTGCGTGTATATACATGTATATATACATTTATTTTTATTTTGAAACTGTACCAAAACATTCTTGAACATTTGTACACCTTTTTTCAACTGATTAATATCTGTGATTCATTGTTTTAGCCATTTGTAGTTGCCTTTTGTGTGTTTGTAATGTGAGGGTTTATAATGATGAATATAAAGTTTGGATACCCGCAGTGGGCAGAGCACAGATAGCCCAAGCTTTTACTTTTACTTGGTGTTTTAACACGCTTTTTTCACCATCTCATTTTAACTATTTTGTTTACTGTTATCGCTGAACGTTGTAACTAAAGCGTGGTTTTCAAACATATGAAGTGTACGACTTGTTGTATTAATAATGTTCCATTTTTACTTACGTTAGATATCGCCTCAGTTCTTAACCATTGGAAAAGTACAAAGTATTTCGTTTCTCACCTCGAACAGCTCCCTCTTTTCTTTTTTTTTTAAGTTAAGCAAAAATCAGTAAAATCAGCTTGATCTGTAAAAACTGAGTTTGTAACTCTAGAAATATAACAACTCGTTTGTTTGTTAGGCACATTACTGTTTTAGTTTCTCTTTATTGAATACGCATTCTAGTTGGCTTACCTTTGGAGTTTGTGTCATTGAGAAAAGTATTAAAAGTCACTGGACCAGAAGAGGAACTCCACCTTGTTTCAACTCACTTCGTTTATGAAGAAGGCTTAATACAGAATTATAGGTTTGAGTCCGCTCTACAAATCGGAGACCAAGTCACCGGATAACATGTAATTTAAAATAATCTACCTGGACCAAGTTACTGGATAACGTAATTTGAAATAATTTACCTGGACCAAGTCACCGGATAACTTGTAATTTGAAATAATCTACCTGGACCAAGTTACTGGATAACGTAATTTGAAATAATTTACCTAGACCAAGTTACTGGATAACGTAATTTGAAATAATTTACCTGGACCAAGTTACCGGATAACTTGTAATTTGAAATAATCTACCTGGACCAGTCACATTTCGAGTCATTAAACACATTTAATGAAAACAGTCTGGTAATCATCATCATGCTTGACTTGTGTTGTATATAAAGCGTTAAGTTTGAATGAGCTATGGATGTTTTCACTTGAGAAATATTTAACTTTACACAAGCTGGAAACTATTAAAGAAGAGATAGAAAAATATTTACAAAGGTTGCTCTTTAAACGTTTCGTGCGGCTCTGGAGTGGTTAACATGAAGCGAAGTCAACAATCTTCCTATTTGCTTTCAATTGGAAACAGTGAACGTGACGAGTCAAGATAAATGAACGATAGACACATTAGGATCAGTTATTTTTTATCGAAAATAACCAATCAATGAATGTAGGGGAAATAATACTGTTGTCTTTCAAAATTTGCAGTGCGTACTGGAAGGATCTGCGCGTTTTGATGATAAAGTTAGAAAAAAAACGACCTGTACAATCCAGATAAATTAAAAGATAACTTTTATTTTAACCACCGTTTCGCCTTTGCGGCTTCATCTTTGATAATCTAATATTAAACAGTTTTATATACTAGCCCTGAAGAAGCCGCAAAGGCTAAAATAAGTTATCTTTTAATTATCTGGGGTGCAGTGGTCGTTTTTTTTTTTCTAACTTTATTATCAAAATAATTCTGTTATCGTTGTACGCACAATTTTTTGTTGTTGTTAAAAAAGAAAATCAAATAGAATATTTCCGAATGTTTACTGTTCACCTACTGGACAGGCCCGGCATGGCCAGGTGGTTAGGACGCTCGACTCGCAATCTGAGGGTCGTGGGTTCCTCGCCCTTTCAGCTGTGGGGGCGTTATAATGTGACGGCCATTCCCACTATTCGTTGGTAAAACAGTAGCCAAGAGTTGGCGGTGGGTGGTGATGACTAGCTGCCTTCCCTCTAGTCTTACACTGCTAAATTAGGGATGGCTAGAGTAGATAGCCCTCGTGTAGCTTTGCGTGAAATCCATAACAAATAAACAATCGCCTACTGAACACCTTGGATCGGGAGTTAAATACCTATAAAAGATTCGTGGTTTCTTTCACCATTCGAATATTAGAGCACGTGATGTATTATGCTAATGTAATATCTCTGTGTGGTATACATTCGCAGTTAAAACAGTGTCCAAAAACTAGTATTAGTTATTAGGAAATTGCATTGTAAAAGGAAAGCAAAAGAGTACCGTGTGTAATCACTGAAAGAGTAAAAAAAAAACTTTTATTTTTGTTCCCCGGACTTACAACGCTAAAATCCGGGGCTCGATTTCCTGAGGTAGACACAGCAGAAAGCCTAATGTGGCTTTGCTCTAAAACAAATAGATTGTTTGCTCTATTTTACTTTTATGCAACCAACAACGTTAACATCCTGTGAAAAATATAATACGGAGATGAAGTTATAAGAAATTCCCTGTTTGTCTGTATTGTGTTTGTATATGTATGTGTATATATATATATATATTGTGTTTATATATATATATATATATGTGTGTGTGTGTGTGTATTATGTTTGTGTGTATAGTATATATATGTATTGTTGTTTGTTGTATATATATATATGTGTGTGTATTGTGTTGTATATATATATATAATAATAATGTGTGTGTGTGTATATTGTTGTTAGTATATATATCGTTGTTGTTGTTTACTATATTTAATTAACTCTCCTCTCTCTCTACTATTTCTTACT